TTAAAAAATAATGTCTGAAACCTTGGTTTGGTGTATTTGCAGTATTTGCTTATTAAGTAAAGATGGCAGCTTTTGAAAATTAAAAAGTGCTGGAACTCAGCATCGAAAACATAATAGATGAAATGAGTAAAGTCCTAGTGATGATTTAGAATTACAAAATAATATTCAAAATCAAGCAGCATATGGTTTTTAGCAAGGAACATTTGAGCCTGAACTTTATAATCTAGAAAATAATGGTGAATTGAAGAAGGGTCAGGAAATAATAATGAGTTAGGAAATATTATGAACTTGAGAATGGGTTTGAATATGCTAATATATTTGAAAATAAATTTAAAAATAGGTTGGACTGTAATGATAAATTCAAAGGTATTGATGAATTTAAAAAATGGGTTAGACTGTGATAATGAATTCGAAGATGTTGATGAATTTAAAAATAGGTTAGATCATGATAATGAATTTAAGAATAGGATAGAATGTAATGAATTTGAAGATATTAATGAATTTGATAATAGTTCAGAAATTGATGAATTTGAGGATTGGTCAGAAGTGATAGTAGCAACTTAAGTATAGCTAGTTCAACTTTAATAAATAATGAAGGTAATTATACCTATTCTGTTATAAAAAAAAATTAGAAATTTGTATTTTTTTTTCACATTATATTTTCTATTAAATTTTAGAAAATATCCTTTTTATATGCTTAAAACTTGCTACAGTAATTTGACTTCTTAAGGTTAAAGCACAAAATAACCTTACCAATGAAGCCTTTAGAAAAATTATAAAAGCTATAATAACAAAACTGATGAGCTTATATATAGTCAAAAAAAATTATCATCATAAGTTTTATTTAAACCTGTGTGGATAGACATGTGCATTACAGTGCCTGACAAAAGTTTTCCCGCACCTATATCTTCTCATAAAAAGGTGCTACGACCTTGAAAATTTTAAAAAAGTTAATACATACACAGATTAGATCATGTATGTTGTTTGAAGATTTTTTAATTACTAGAAATAAATTTAGATGAGAGCCAAAGTTGGGATGTTTTTCATCTAAAAAAATAATTGTATTTAAAAAAATTTAATATATCGTCAAGGCTTAAAGCTAAAACTTCTAAAAATTAATATATTAAACATCAATGATTTCTATATTAGTGATAAAAAAATTGACTCGATTTGATGAGATAATTATTGAGAAATTAATT